TTTTTTTAGCAAACAACAAAATCTTTTGGAGACTCTTCACAAATGATAATGAAATGTGATGCTATGTGCGAAAAATGATGTAAATTGAAATGAAAATTAAGGAAATTGGACTCGGCAAACTGATTAGTACATACCTTCAACCTTGATACCAGTTTCCTCCACAGGCTTTGCGGACGAAGGTTCCGGAATTCCACGCGATTTTTCGGGAGAACTATCCCCATCGTCGAATATGTCTTTGTTTACTGAAAAAAGTGATAGTTAAGCGCTATTGCATCGCGAATGCATTCACCGCTCTGAGGCACATACATTTTTTGGTTCTAGGAGGCGAAGCTGCGGACGTTTCATTTGGGATATGTCTCTTCCCATTAGGTCTGCGCTCTGTTGTAACGTCCTCCGGATCAATTTTCATCTTCTTCTGTGCACTCCTAAAAGACCATTTGTTCGAAATCACTCTGATATCGATGAAACCTCACAGTTCATCGTGATGTTCTTTTCCAGAATCCACTGGTTTTGTGTTTTTACGTGCTTCTTTATCGACGGCAGCAATTGGCTTCTTCGGAGATGGAATTTTGACATCAACCTTGGCGGGGGAGCTCTGAAGAGGAACAGTCACCCTTTTCATGGTGGAATCCGGTGTATATGTACAGTTATGCAAACGAATAGAAGAACTGGAAAAAATCGCGTGTGCAAACAACGAATAACGTCTTGTGCCGCGAAATCTGCTTATCTTTCCTTTTAACCACTGATGAAGTTCCAAAAATTACTAACTATAAGCAGAAAAATTTCAAAGGGGAAACAACTCATGTACCTCTCCGTCATCGAACACATGCCTCATGGCAACGAACACGTCGCCTCCATCATTCTGCAGCTTTTCGGATAACTCCTCAGCATAGCGCTGTACCACTTTCGACAAAATCATTGTTCTCCCAGCGTCGGTACGAAAAAACCGCAAATCCTCTAATCGATCACGAGCAAGTATTGAAGGTAAGTCCTTAATAAAGTAATGAATCTATAAAATTCTATGCAAAATAGGTAGCAGCTAGAGACCCGTACAGGTCGTGGGCTATACCCTGTACTGACCCTGGCCAAGGCAGCAAAAGGCAGGCACTACTAATATTAATAGCTCGATCAGCACAAGGACCCCTAAGGCAGTGGCCATACTTCGCCCAAAAAGCGCTCAAAAACGCCGGAACGCCCCCTCCACGGAGACATTATCAAACTTGG